TAAAAGACATCCGACTTACTATTAATTCGATAGAGGTTATTATCGAACTAGTCTCAGACCACAGGCCAGTAGTTTTACAACTGGGCCGGCCGGCAGGTGAGGTCCCTCAGACCAAAACCATTGTCGACTGGCGTAAACTTGAGGTCAAACTTAAGTCTACGAACTCCCAGCATTTGGACACCATTCCTGACAAGATAGACTCGCTAGAGGAGGCCGATAGGGCGATTAGCACTCTTTCGACTCACCTCACATCAGCGGTCGAAGAATGCTCCCGTAAGTTTGGTATGTCGAGCGATCAATACACGAAACTTCCGGCGGATGTTAGACGACTGATTCGAGCTAAGATTTCCGCGCTTAAAACATACGACCGCTACCGCACGGAAGCCAATAAACTTCGGGTACGTTCTCTACAAAGCGAGATTAAACAACGAGTTTAGAAATGATAGCTGGGATAACCTCAGAAGGTATCGAACCATCTCAAGACGCCTTCTGGAAATTAACGAGAGCTCTTAAAGCCGACAAATACTCACCGATGCCGCTTCTCGTGAGGTTGGAGAACCCCGATCTCGCCCTAGACGATCTCGAAAAAGCCGAATGTCTAGTCGACAGTCTAGAGTACCAGTGCACGCCATCCACTGCACCAATAGATCCCGCTCACCTACTAGAGGTAGAAACGGAAGTAGAACGTGGGTCTGCGCTGCCACCAGCGGGTGAACCACTCGATCCTGTGACAAAAATGAAGTCACTGAAACCATCAAAAGCCTTAAGAATAGATCAGCCCCTGGGCCAGACGGCATCAGCAACAAGGTGATCAAATCCGTTTCGGCGCCACTTATTTACCTCCTTGTAGGAATATTTAACACCTTTCTCACGAACTGCTGGACATCTGGAAAGAAGTAGACGTAATAGGGATCCCAAAACCGGGTAAACCGCGTAATCGTCCCTCTAGCTACAGACCCATTAGCCTGCTCAACACAATGGGCAAATTATACGAGCGCATTATTCATGAGCGTCTCCGTCATTACACAGAATCTAACGGACTCCTCCCAGACGAACAGTTTGGCTTTAGAGCCAATCACTCATGCACCCACCAGATACATCGCCTAACAGAATGCATTCTGTCTGGCTTCAACCACAACCCAATAAGGAAAAAGGCTCGAAACACGGGAGCCCTCTTCTTCGATGTCGCGAAGGCATTTGACAAGGTCTGGCACGACGGCTTGATTTACAAGCTGTACAAACTAAACGTGCCCGATAGGCTCGTGCACATCATACGAGCTTTCCTTTCGAACCGCACTTTTCGATATTGAGTGGAGGGAACCCGTTCTTCGAAACGCTTCCTCAAGGCCGGTGTCCCACAGGGCTCCATCCCATCTCCACTCCTCTTCACACTCTTCGCGAGTGATATCCCCAAAGACTCCGTAGTGAACACCGCACTCTTTGCCGACGATACGGCACTGTTTGTGTCAGACTACAACAAAAATAGGCTCTCTATAAAGCTCCAAAAAGCGACCAATCGCCTTGGTGAATGGTTCCGCCTATGGAGAATTGACGTGAATTCCAAAAAAAGTGTAGCAGTATACTTTCAACGGAATTCAACAGCAGGTTCCAAACAAAATATGATTTATTTATACGACCGCCCAATCCCTTGGGAAAATTCGGCCAAATACCTAGACGTCACGTTCGACTCCCGCATGAGTTTCGCGACGCACGTAAGTATAGTACGCAACAGAGCCAAGTCAATAATTAGCCGTCTACACCCTCTCGTTAGCAGCAAGAGTAAGCTGTCACTAAGACACAAGCTCCGGCTGTACAAAAGCTGCATTAGACCAGTTATGTCCTATTCAAGTGTAGCTTTCGCCCACACATATAAGACCCATATTTTAAAACTCCAAAGAGTACAAAACTTTTTCATCCGAAAAGCCACCGGTGCACGGTGGTATCAACGGAACTCTGATTTACACAATGATTGTGAATTACCATCTATCTCCAAATATTTTAAGGAGATGTCCCAGCGCTACTTTGATAAAATAGAAACCCACCCTAACCCGCTAGTGACAAACGCAGCTACGTTCCGATAACAAACGTCGCGCCCTATCTCCGTAGACCGCGAAATGTGTTAATAGAACCACCTCAACTGCTCAATCCAGTCGACCCAAACGTCGCAGGTACATCACACAACGACACTACACCCACACTAAATGGGACAAACACTAATAGGACAACGAATGGGACGCGTTCCAGCTCACACCGCGTACACACCGTACACCCGCGTTCCTGGACGGTTCTCACCGCTCAGACCATCGACCGACACGAGCTGAGCAGTCGGAGACGGGGGTCCGCACTCCCCCCCCCCTTGGACTGCGGTTAGATAGCTCAAAGAAAAACGCCTAAAAAGGCGACATGATGATTGGTAACAATATGAAATCATAAACCGTTTCATCATCATCCTCACCTCATTGCCTTTCCCTTCTTTAATTAGTTGAGGCAAATGAAGCTGTAAGAGTCGCATAGACTAACAGCACTAACATCTAGATAATAGTAGCTCTTTGAGGAGATGTTGAACAACCGTACTACCCGACTGAACGGTAAAACTTAGCGGGGTTGCGTCTTAACTAATATCTACACATACATACACCCTGAGTAAATTCCTATCCTAGTTTCCTTTTCTAAATTAAGGAAATTAATGAGATATAATGGTAATATATTATGTACTTTAAGTTCGGACGTTTAAATAAAGGAGGTATGTGCCATTTCAATATAAAAAAGGTATACATCGCAGCGTTTTCGCGTCAACAAATATTCTATAAAGATATAACTATAGTATGAAATGATACGAATTTTAGATTAAAATGTTTTTAGTGACAGAAATCAACATTTTAACTTTAATATACTTAATTTTATTTAAGTTAAAATTAAGTCTATTTACTGTACTTGTGTATTACTGGACTATACTTAATTTTAACTAAGTTAAAATCAAATATATGTAGGTCAGTTCTGAGAAATTTTATACAATGACTTACTCTGTACCTATTTGAATTATAAGAAAATACTTTACAGTTTAATTTGGCCTACGGCAAAAGCAATTACGAACCTTTGACTGTAGCAATTATTTTGTGAGAATTTGCTGTCGTTATAGGACAACAAGTTAAATTACAAGTAGTAAGTTGACACCAATTTCATTAAAGTTAGATGTTTAAATTCGAAATAGGACTCTGAATCCATTTTTTATAAGGCGTTTTGGAGTTCTCTACTAAAAGATTTTATTGACTTACTTACTTAGTGTGCGCGTGTGTATGTGTACCTATGCTTCAAAATTAATATAATATAACATCATTTGTTTAGTTTCAATAACAAAAATGTAACACAAAATAATTTAGGACTAAAATGACGTCTATTAAGTACAAACGCTAGGTAACCACATAGCGGTACTTATAACGTACGTGCAATAAACTAAATTTAACTATTCACGGGCTGCAACATAAAAATAAAAATATTATTTTGCTTATAAATATTTAAAAAAACTATAATAAAAAACGTTTATAACCAACAAGCTTAAATTTGTCAAACTTTAGTAACTATGATGACAATGCAATTTAGTACCATGAAGCTATTCAAATGATGGACCAGGATACTGACACTAGCAACGTCTGTAAAAATGGGTTTTAAATAAATATCATATTGAATTAAGTATTGGTGAAAATTTAGGTCGGATTGGGGATGACTAAATCTAGTCCAGTTTAATACTTAGAAGATACAAGTTTGCGCGTTTACAGCTAAAAATAAATCCTTTATCGTATCTCCTCGGTTTCAAGGCACTCCCCTTGTTTCCTTAGCCAGTATCGGAATCCTCGGCGTCGATATATCGAATTATGTACAGTTTTGTGGTAACTTGGAAGAAAAGGCTAAATTGGCCTCTAAAAAGCTTGGCGTGCTCATCGGATCAGGACAGTATATCATGCCGGCACACCGCCGGTAACTTTACAAGGCAAAGGTTCGGCCTCACATGGAATACTGTTTCCTTCTCTGGGCTGGGTCTCCCCAGTGCCAGCTCCTTCCACTTGACCGCATCCAGCGTAGACCGGTTCAAATCGTCGACAACCGAGTCCTCCCCGATCGGCTCGATTCACTGCCGCTGCAAAGAGATGCTGCATACCTTTGCGTTTTTTTTCACATATACCATTGTGAGTGCTCTGAGGAATTTTTCGCATTAGTTACAACCGTCAAATTTCACAAACACACGTTGCGGCAAAGTTCCCGATATCATCCACGCCATCTAGATGCGTAGCGGTCCACCACTATAAGTGTTAATAGAAGTTATCCTACTAATATGACCTCTCTGTGGAATAGTTTACCGCCGGCGAATGGTACACTCACCATCCTCATCATGTTTACCCTCTCTTATATAAAAAATACAGTTTATTATTAGTATTTTCAATACTATAGCTGCATAATATGGATAATATATATAATTATAAGAATGCGTAACTCCAAAATATGTTTATTTTTTGTTTTAATGTCATCTATCGGTAAATCTTAAAACGCATCTGATAGTATACTTCGTATCTCCCGCGGAAAGTTGTTTAAAAAGTTATTCGACATTTATAAAAATACGTAACTCCACGACGCCATTTTGTTGTTTGCAATATTCGTAACTCCCGCGTTTAGTGCGGCTTGAGAGCTCCGAGGTGTGGACGTCACGTCGTCGGTTAACTTTTTAGACAAATATTGTGATAAATGTGATTATTTAGATAGAATAGAGTAGAAGGTGAGTTTGTTTCGTGTTATTGTTTGATCTAGCTATTAAATTTTGCAATTAATAAGCGAAATTAGTTATTTTGCTATGGGATGGAGTTAAGAAGTTTGATTGTTTGCTTAACTTTGCGTTGTGACTGTTTGCCATGGAGATACGAACTTTGAATGTATTGAATAGTAATTTGTTTTTTACTTTGTCTAACTCTAAGCATTATTTTCGTTGTTTTAGTTAAATACATACCTACATGTTGTTGCAAAATTCACGCGCCGCAAAAATACTCCGGAATATTCCGCCCGAAAAACTGAGCATCGAACCAGGATGCTACGCGGTACAGTGTGACAATTCAATGGTGTTGGAAGATCAGCCGCAGCTCATGATTAGAAATGATGGATCTCATCAAGGATCCACAAACAGAGATTCTGCAAGTAGCATTCCTGTTGTATTAGATTCAGATCTACAGTCATCAATAACTGAATGTGTTACTCTGAATCCCATAGAAACGGTTGAACCTGTAGATATTTCTACGCCGAGGTTATCACAAGAACACACTAAACCAGGATGCTCCATGGTACTAACAGATAATTATAAAGTATTGAGGGACTGCCCCTTTAACATCTTAATTAATAATGATAGATCTATCTGCCGAAGATCCACGAGCCAAGATTCTTTAAAAAGCATCAGCTCTGTTTCATTAGATTCGGATCTAACGTCATCAGAAACAGTTGAGCAGACTATCACTACCTCGTCACCGCCTCCAAGAAAAAGACAAAAGAAAAGTGAACCCCGCCAATGGGACGCAAATAAAAACAAGGAACAAAGAGAAAAAGCTAAGGCTTATTTAGGAAAGAAGAAGAGAGGAAATAAATGGGGCTTTATTGAACCTAAGCCCGTGAGAGAGATGAAAAGTAGATGCAAATGCAAATTAAGCTTGAAAGGGGATACCAAGATGCACTGTGATAAAATACCAGAAGAAGAAAGACAAACAATGTTTGAGAAGTTTTGGAAAATGAGTTGGAAGGAAAAGAAGGTGTTTGTTAAAATGTCTTCGATTTCTAAGAAAAAAGAAAGAGAGAGGTGTGCTGGTACATCATCTAGGTGGAAAAACTCTGTAGAGTTATATTTAACTGATAGCACGGGGATTCGATTTCGGGTCTGCAAAACCATGTTCCTTAACAGTTTAGGTGTTGGGGAATGGGTGATAAAGAAGTGGATTATTAATGAAGATGATCCCAAAGATGCACCGAAAAATAATACCAAAGTGGAAGCTAAAAACCAGTTACGCAAGTTTTTTGATTCCATGCCAAAACTTGAATCACACTACTGCCGAAAAGACTCATCAAAGTTGTATCCTGAACCAGTCTGGACATCAACATCTCAGCTCTATGAAACTTACAGAAAAGACTTCTGTGTCAGAGAGAACCTTGAGCCATTAAGCATTACCACCTTTTTCAACATGTTTGAAGCACTCAATTTGTCTTTATTTAGCCCAAAAAAGGACTTGTGTGATATTTGTGAGTCTTACAAAGCTGGTAATGTTTCAGATATTGACTATAAGACTCATCGTGATAAGAAACACGAGGCTCGAAAAGAACTCGCTAAGGACATTTCCACGGAACACGAAGTCCTTACCATGGATTTACAATCGGTGCTTTTAAGCCCACGTTCGAATGTTTCGGCACTCTAAGACCAAACTCATTGTGCATAATTTTACACTTTACGATTGTAAAAGAAATTTGGGCTACTGTTATATTTACAACGAATGCGAAGTAAAACTGACGAGCAATGAATTTTCGACTATAATCGTGACAGCTCTCGAAAGTTCAGGACACAAAACACAACGCAACATATCAAGGAAATAATTATCTACAGTGACGGTTGTACCTACCAGAACCGAAATGTGGTACTATCGAATGCTCTACTGAATTACAGCATGGAAAAGGAAGTAACATTCAAACAGAAGTACCTCCAAAAAGGGCATACGCAAATGGAGTGCGATGGTATGCACTCGGTCATAGAAAGAGCGTTAAAAAATAAAAAGATAAATATTCCGGCCAACTATGTTTACATAGCCAAAACTGCTTGCAAGAAAAATCCCTATGACGTACAGTATCTCTATCACCACTTCTTTAAAGATGTTGAACATACTTTGAAGTTCTACAAATCAATCAGACCTAGAAAAAGAACAGGTGACCCTACAGTCACAAACATAAGGGCTCTCAAGTACACTCTAGATGGAAGAATTGAGTTCAAGTTGAGACATTCAGCTACTGATTGGGAAGGGCTCCCAACAAGAACTAAAACAATCAGTTTCATTCCATGGGATACTGTTCCTCAGCTTTATTCGGCAAGGCTGAAGATTAAAAAAGAGAAGTATCAGGATCTTCAGAACCTCAAGCATACCATGGAGAAAGATTATCATAACTTTTATGATAACCTACCACATACCTAACTAGTTAAACTAATGATGTGGTAGGTAGGTACCTACTAAGATTATAAAAGTTATGATAACCTACCCCACTTAAGGTACACTAAGGCCTTCCTACATTTATCTGATTAGTACCAAGTATTGTTTAATGTACCTAGTTTTATTTACTTTACCCATTCCAAAGAGTGAACAATTATTGTTAAAAGTAATTTTATTTTTAAGACATTAGAGACTGATGAAAGTTATTGATTTTTATGTTACAAGAGTTTTTTTTAATAGAAGTTCCTATTATGTTATTTGATTAATAAAAAACAAAGCCTATATAAACCCTATATAAAAATGAAATAATAAAACTGCGTAAGTCACCTGCATTGTATAAAAAATGATAAAAATGTAAACGTAAAACTGCGTATATCCTAGAAAAAGTCGTAAGTCCAACTTGAATAAAAATTAAAACTCGTAAGTCCATTATTTTATAAACTACCTGCAAAATCAATAATATTCTTAGTAAAAAATTAATCTACACTCATTTTGAACTCAAAGTAACAGCTACTTTATAAAAATATGTTAATATAAAAACAAAAAACGGTTTTTCGTTGCTCCTGTAAAATTATCTCATTCGGACTTACGAATTTTGATAATTAGGTCGACGATATATCATCATCATCATCATCATCATTACAGCCCTTCACAAGTCCACTGCTGAACATAGGCCTCCCCCAAGTAATGCCACAAAGCACGGTCCTGAGCCACCTGCATCCATCGACTTCCTGCATATCTTACCATCCATCCATCTAGTGGGGGGTCGCCCTACACTACGCCTACCGGTACGAGGCTGCCACTCGAGAACCTTTCTTCCCCATCGGTTATCGGTTCTTCGAGCTATATGGCCGGCCCATTGCCACTTCAGCTTACTAATCCGTTGGGCTATGTCGGTCAATCTGGTTTTACTGCGGATATCCTCATTTCTGAGTCTATCACGCAGAGAAACTCCGAGCATAGCCCTCTCCATAGCTCGCTGAGCGACCTTGAGCGTCCTCATACGGCCAGCAGTGAAGGACCACGTCTCTGATCCGTAAGTCATCACTGGCAACACGCACTGGTTGTACACTTTAGTTTTCAGAGATTGAGGTATACCTGACGAGAAGATATGTCGTAATTTCCCGAACGCTGCCCAGCCGAGTTGAATCCGTCGATTGACCTCTCGGTCGAAGTTGGACTTACCTAGTCGGACTATTTGTCCCAGGTAAACGTACTCGTCAACAACTTCGAGCATAGTGCTCCCAACAACTACCGGCATAGGTGTGACATGGACATTAAACATAATCTTTGTTTTGTCCATGTTCATCTTAAGACCTATCCGTTGGGAGGCACTATTGAGGTCATTGAGCATAGTGCTTAAGTCCTCCAGCGATTCTGCCATAAGGACTATATCGTCGGCAAATCGAAGGTGAGTGATGTACTCGCCATTGATGTTAATACCGTATCCTTTCCAGTCCAGTAGCTTGAAAACGTCTTCCAAAGCAGCGGTGAAGAGTTTCGGGGATATAACGTCACCCTGTCTTACACCTCTCTGCAGTTGGATAGGTTTCGAGCTCTGGTTCTGTACTCGGATAGCCATCGTAGCCCTACGGTACAAACACTTCAGCACTTCAATATACCGACAGTCAACTTGGCACCGCTGAAGGGACTGCAGCACCGCCCAAATTTCGACGGAATCAAAGGCTTTCTCATAGTCCACATACGCCAGGCAAAGTGGCAAATTGTATATATATATATATATATATATATATATATATATATATATATATATATATATATATATATATATATAGTGAGAGAGAGAGAGAGAGAGAGAGAAAACCTCCACACTAGGAATATTTCCTGTATTGTTGGGGAAGTTTACGTACATAAATTTAGCAGGGACAATCGTCCAGACCCGGAACAATTGTAGGCCATACGAATACGAATATTCGTTTCACGCGGGATAGAACCCTTAGCCCTCAAAAGCTGCAATTTATTGCTAAGCCACTGCGTCACGGAGCCGTCATATTATTTCTTGCGATGTTGGACGCATTTATAACCTTACAGTAAAAGTAAATTAAATTTAAAGCTCATTACATTCCAGTTCTGGGTACGTCTGTACTCAGAAGTAATCCTATAATTACTGAAAGTGTTAAAACTCTTTCACTTTCTGCCCTAAAGGGCGCTCACTACTCTGTTCCAAGGCGTGTTGATGAACTTCAAGTCTTAGAAATATTTCTTTTTGATTACTCAAACATTTTGGTTTCCTTATTATGATTTCTTACACGGAGCACGTGGTAAATCGGCGCTTAAAATTGCATATTTCTGCCATTTGCTTTAGAAACAGTCCGTTGGGTCCGCATACGGTGGAGTTCCTAATGTAACTGTATCTGGTGATGATAGGGCTGGTTCCTTTCTCGCTCAAAGACTAAGAATAGCCTATAAGTATAGTATATATATTGAGGAAACCCAACCGTTCGATTAGTACGATACCACGAGGAGTAGTATTGAATGATAATTTAAGTTGTTAGTTTTAGTTGTTTTATTATAGATTTTTATTATTATATATATTTTAATGTTATTTATACAAATTTATAATGTAATAAATATATTGATTTTTGATTAATACACTACCCATATACAACTTGATGAAAGTGTCAGTTCTACTTCATTACCATATATGTACTATAAAAATGGTCAAGAAAACATTTACAATATAAATACAAAGTGCTCTAAGTCTAATCTAACCTTCATGATTCAAATTAGGTTTGCGATTAGAAGCTGAGACTTTTCGTCTGGTAATCTATATTTAGTGGTCGTTTAGCCAGCGTGTGCTAAATTAACGAATCCTATTTATACGCGTTACTGGAAAACGTTTTGCTGGCTTTCTATTTAGTAGGATTTATGGTATATCCGTTTGGTGACGATGCAAGAGAATCCACTTCCAAATATTAGCAAGAAAATAAAAAGTTGCAGCAGCCAACTTGTCTACGAAGCGTGACAGAAATAGTAAATAATAATAATGTCCTCCAGATCGAATTTCACTCACGGCGGCTAGCCTCCACGGAGTATAGCCATCAGTGCATCATCATCATCATCATCATTACAGCCCTTCACAAGTCCACTGCTGAACATAGGCCTCCCCCAAGTAATGCCACAAAGCACGGTCCTGAGCCACCTGCATCCATCGACTTCCTGCATGTCTTACCAGGTCGTCACTCCATCTAGTGGGGGGTCGCCCTACACTACGCCTACCGGTACGAGGCTGCCACTCGAGAACCTTTCTTCCCCATCGGTTATCGGTTCTTCGAGCTATATGGCCGACCCATTGCCACTTCAGCTTACTAATCCGTTGGGCTATGTCGGTCACTCTGGTTTTACCGCGGATATCCTCATTTCTGAGTCTATCACGCAGAGAAACTCCGAGCATAGCCCATAGCTCGCTGAGCGACCTTGAGCGTCCTCATACGGCCAGCAGTGAAGGACCACGACTCTGATCCGTAAGTCATCACTGGCAACACGCACTGGTTGTACACTTTAGTTTTCAGAGATTGAGGTGTATGACGAGAAGATGTGTCGTAATTTCCCGAACGCTGCCCAGCCGAGTTGAATCCGCCAATTGACCTCTCGGTGGAAGTTGGACTTACCTAGTCGGACTATTTGTCCCAGGTAAACGTACTCGTCAACAACTTCGAGGATAGTGCTCCCAAAAACTACCGGCATAAGTGTGACATGGACATTAAACATGATCTTTGTTTTGTCCATGTTCATCTTAAGACCTATCCGTTGGGAGGCACTATTGAGGTCATTGAGCATAATGCTTAAGTCCTCCAGCGATTCTGCCATAATGACTATATCGTCGGCAAATCGAAGGTGAGTGATGTACTCGCCATTGATGTTAATACCGTATCCTTTCCAGTCCAGTAGCTTGAAAACGTCTTCCAACGCAGCGGTGAAGAGTTTCGGGGATATAACATCACCCTGTCTTACACCTCTCTGCAGTTGGATAGGTTTCGAACTCTGGTTCTGTACTCGGATAGCCATCGTAGCCCTACTGTACAAAAACTTCAGCACTTCGATGTACCGACAGTCAACTTGGCACCGCTGAAGGGACTGTAGCACCGCCCTAATTTCGACGAAATCAAAGGCTTTCTCATAGTCCACATATGCCAGGCAAAGTGGCAGATTGTACTCTTCAGTCTTCTGTACAATCTGCCGCAGGGTATGTATGTGGTCTATGGTACTGAAGCCTTTTCGGAAACCGGCTTGTTCGGGAGGCTGGAAGTTGTCGATTCTGCGTGCGAGACGATTCGTAATGACTCCCGAAAATGTAGACGCATGTAGACGCGGCTCAGAAGGGAAATCGGTCTGTAGTTCTTCAAGAGAGCGTTGTCGCCTTTCTTAAAGAACAAAACCACCGCGCTTCTGCTCCACGCCTCCGGAGTAGTGCCACCATGGAGGACGGAATTGAAGAGCTTCCGAAGGACTTCAAGTACCGGTTTTCCACCCGCTTTCAGAAGCTCCGCTGTAATTCCATGCCGTGTAGTGGCGGTTGAGAATATCCACTACCCCATATCTTCCCGTGGGTGTCGTAAGAGGCGACAGAGGGAAACAGGCAGGAGATGGGCAGCAGCATCTTCCTGATAACAACTGTGACGTAATAAAAAACTGCGGTTGCCAACCCGCACACAACAAAATGAATAAATACACAAACAGACGGCCCGCAGTCCCCGGCGGCCCCGCTATTCCTGGCTACGGTGGCGACCATGGTAACGGCGGGGCAGGGGGTGCTAAGAATCTCCGGTGGAGGTTCGGTTGCCACCTACGACGACTCGACCTGGCAACATATAACGCACGCACCCTGAGGACTGACGAGAAGATACTAGAGCTGGAAGAAGAGGTAGACAAGTTGCGCTGGCATATTATTGGATTATCCGAGGTCCGAAGAAAGGGGGAGGACACGGCAATCCTCGAGTCCGGCAACTTGTTCTATCACCGGG